AATTAGTAAAAAAAAAAAATCGGTAATTTTGTATTTTAGCATTTCTAATGATCTGTTTTAGTTATGGTTGGGCTTTGTTTCTCATTTTTGAATTTTTAACCATAGAGCTTCTAATTGTTAATTAAATGATCGAGGTTATTTACTAAATTATGAATTGTGGGGAATTCAATGAGATTTGCATAATTTAGGCAGAAACAGGCAAACTGAAATAACTATTGATGTTGACGATTTTTGAAGAAAATGTAAAAGAAGCGATAAACACAGATAACACGTCACCCTTTCGGCCAGCCCCCTATCTTCTACACCACACAACATCCTCCATGTCCCGCTACAAATGCTCCCTGACCATTTGCATCCTTAACATCGCAAGGCATATAATACCCTTGTACTGGAAAAAGGACACGGCCCCACCGCTGACCCTTTGGTATACCAAAATGGAAGAGTTATGGGTTATGGAAGAGCTGTGGTACACTGGCAAGACCGAGCGCAGACGCACACGGACATATGGGCACCCTGGCTGGCGCGTGTGGTCACGGAGGAGTTCCAGACCAGATATCTGGGGGAAGGGAGGGGCGACTTGCCATGGGGGGAGGTACCTGACGATCACCAGTAGGAGACACCGAGAGGCGGGTGAGCTGACCTGCACCTGCTTTAATACCACATTCTCCCCTTGCCCTACCTCTCATTCCCGCTTCACCTTTTTCTCTTCCATCCTGGGGCACGGCCCAGAGAGTGACCACACCAAGATGCATCTGCCTGCCTTACATGTGAGGCATACACCCCGCCGGGAGCTGAGCGGCTGGGGTCACTTGCAATATATATGTATTGGGACCTACGTGTCTCTTCTTGAAATATTACGGGTCCTGCGAGCCCTCCGCTTTTTTTTTTTTTTTACCTATCTGACAATAAAAACAAACACCCTTACGTGAACGGGAATTTAAAGGACCACTATAGTGCCAGGAAAACATACTCGTTTTCCTGGCACTATAGTGCCCTGAGGGTGCCCCCACCCTCAGGGACCCCCTCCCACCCGGCTCTGGAAGGGGGAAAGGGGTTAAAAACTTACCTTTTTCCAGCGCTGGGCGGAGAGCTCTCCTCCTCTCACGCCTCCGTTCAAGCCCCGCCGGCTGAATGTGCGCATGCGGCAAAACTCGCGGCGCATTCAGCCGGTCTCATAGGAAAGCATTTACAATGCTTTCCTATGGACGCTGGCGTGCTCTCACTGTGATTTTCACAGTGAGAACCACGCAAGCGCCTCTAGTGGCTGTCAATGAGACAGCCACTAGAGGATTAGGGGGAAGGCTTAACCCATTCATAATTATAGCAGTTTCGCTGAAACTGCTATAATTATGAAAAAATGGGTTAACCCTAGAAGGACCTGGCACCCAGACCACTTCATTAAGCTGAAGTGGTCTGGGTGCCTAGAGTGGTCCTTTAAAAACCTTAGAAAGTGTGACTGCAGTGTGTGTGTATATAATGCAGAGTGTGTGCATTATATACACACACTGCATTCAAACACACACTCTGCATTATACACACACACACTCATACAAACACACTCTGTGTGTATATGATGCAGAGTGTGTGTGTGTTTGTGTAGTGTGTGTAAACTGGGTGGGGGGGAGGGAATTATTATTTTAATATTATTTTAAATATTTATTATTATTTTAATATTATTTTATTATTTTGTTTCATTTTATTTTTTTGTCCCCCCTCTCTGCTTGTTGCTTGGCTATGTGAATCCCTGGTGGTCCAGTGGCATTGGCTGTTCAGTAGGGGGGCTGGCAGCGAGCTGTTACTTACCTTTACAGCAGCTCCTGTTAGCTCCCTTCACCTCCATGCAGCTCCAGTCAGCTCCGTTCAGCTCACAGTGTAACCCGTGGCAACGCTCTGATGGCCGTGGGTGTCGCGAGACTTACACTGTGAGCAGAAC